AGGCCTGAGCAGCGCTTTAGGTGGCACCAATTGTTGCATGCGTTGCACCTAACCGATGTTGTGTTGCGCCTTATCAGGTTGGTGCAAACGCTGCAGAACCATCTGTCCTGGGTGGATGTCCTGTGTTGCGTGCTTGTGGATGGTCCACTGGTTGATGGTTGGGCGGGTGTTGGCTGTGTGGAGTTACAAGTTTGTTGGTTGTTGCAGCACGATGCAACAAAATTGTTACTCCACTCCCTGTGGTGCCGAAGACCTGAGCATGCCTTTAGATGGCACCAGGCGTTGCAGCGGTTGCAGCGGACAGAGGTTGAGGAGTGGTGTATGTTGCGGTGGCAAACACTACAGATCCAGGGCCCGGGATTTTGTTCTATGCCGGCGCGGACCAGTAGTATACGGAGCAGACTTGCCGGTGGGTCATGCTCCCATGGCAAAAATTTTGGGGGGTTGCTGCTGTGGTGATGGTCCTTGGTCGGAGTGTGTTCTCCGAGTCAATCCGGTACGTAGAACCGACCATCTTGGGATTGTGTTGTTGGAGTGACAATCCTTGGTCAGATATACCTGGTTGTTGCTATTGTAACAGCATAAAAAACCCCCAAAGNTAAGGAGCCCGATCTAGCAGCACCATGTTATTTTTCAAGGTGCCGAGGCCGGTTCCGACTACGCCGTGTTGAGTGCTGCCTGCAGTGTATTGCAGTGTTCCACTGTTACTTTCCTATCACGCAGGTATCGTCTAATCTGACGAGGTGGCGGATCTTTTGGGAGGTATACGTAATGCTCTTTCACCGATAGTATATGGCCTTCGTCATGAAGATGGCGATGAGATTGCATGCTGTAGACGAGGTATATATATGAAGTCATTCTCCAATCAAGATAACGCTGATAGCTGCCGTCCACGATGGTCGTCGTAAATTGTCCAAATCGTCTCCAAATTGGCCGATTATATTGTAAGTAGCCTGAAAGATTTTTTCGTTAACTTCGCAGCAACATGCACTTTCTGGAAGCAGATCCACCTTCCAGGTACATCAGAAAGCATCGCTCTGAACTGAAGAACGAGATCCAGGATGGCTTACAACAACTACTGGACTCGCCGCTGAACAAACAGGCAATTAACGCTTTGCCGTTTGGTTTTCTGAATACCGTCATCGGAGTTTAAACACCAGCCATTAGAGAGAAAGAGCTTCTACTGAGAGAGCTACTACATGAGATGACCGAACTTATTTTCTAAAAATGTGCCCTTAAAAAGCTTTGCCATGGTAAGTCCATCGTCAACCTTAGCAATATCGTCAACTCGATTCCAGTTTTGCTTCACGTAACAGTAACAGTAACACGTAACAGCAACACAAATGCATAAATCAGTGTTTTGACAACATCGTTTTGTCAGTATGGTTTGAACGACTATCGTTTCAAAGTTACGTGATTCATGCCCAGGCTACGAAAAGGCAGACGAAGTTGCAAGAGACGGCACATCCGCTCCACTTTCGCAGGTCTGGAAGGGTTTAGGCACGCCGCTCGCTACCTACAAGCTAACTTTAAGGGACCTACCCCTTAACCCTGGAAATACATTCTTATTTTTGTATACGTCGGTTCGTCGTTTCGACAAAGAATGTACGTCTACGGTTAAACTAGCAAGGGACAGATTGGATAGTCTCACCACTTGCAGCAATACGAAGCTTACGTGGCCAAAATGGGACAAAAAGCGATCGAAGGATCTCCTCGGAGAGCACGCGGAGAAGTTAGGGGTGCCCATAACGACTTCTGCAGAAGCTGAAGAAATGAAGAAGAGCCAGAATCCTTGCGACACCTTTTATGCGATTGCGCTGCACTTTGCAGAAGAGAACGAAAGTTCATGGGTTTCGGATTTTCCGTTGGCCTAACAGACATGACCGAGGTACGCGTACGAGAACTTCTTTGTTTCGCGTAATCCACAGCTTTGACAAGATTACATACATCTCCTGCGTTATTTTGGTGCGCAGTACCCCCTGCAATAAAAATCCCTCTTCGATGGCAAATGACTATTTCTCCGATCTCTCTCGCCTCTCGCAAATTCGACTGCAATTGCATTCACGGCATTGCCCAAGGAAGTCAGACTAACACTTTATGTTAAGGTTGACGGTACACGCAAAGTGCTTTACCTCCATAACTTCGTGCTGGTTACTGCAACAGGCTGCATACCTAAATATGTGTTCGGCCTGTGATGAGGGACCCTACCGGTGTGAACCACTTTTTCACCTGTCAACAGAAACGCGCGCATCGAACACCCCTTCCCGTTAAACCGATTACAACTTCAGACAACTCCTGCCATCTTAGCAGGATTGGAGTAACGCTGCTACAACAACAGCAGTAACTGCACCAATTGGAGTCCGACCGATTCCCAATTTTTGGCCGATGCCGATGCCGATTCCTTAAAAAAAGCTACCTGAACATCAATTCATTCAAAAACAAATGTTTTTAATAAACTTTTATTTTTTTGGATTAAACAGCTATATAATAGCCCAAACGATGGCTGGAACCACAAACTGATTCTTCATTAATATTATATATCTTTCATAAATATTCTCCAGTTGATTGATGAGGTGTGAGCCGGAGTGTAACAAATTATTATAAAAGTTAAAAAAAAAAACAATACAAAAACAAAAAAAATAAAACAAAAGACAGTTAAAGATAACAGCTTCCTTTACACAAAAAGGAGCATGCAAGTACCAGAAACCAAGTTAATTAACAATGCAAACGAAAATTATTGATAGAAACATGCCAGCATTCAATCACAATATCATTTTTAGCATAATATTTCTAATTTGAAACTATTATTATTTTTTTAAATAATTAAAATACTTGATTCTCATTTTTGTTTTTTTTAACTTTTTTTCCTTTTTTTAAATTATTATTTGTGTTATTTTTTTCCATCATAAAAACATAGTTATATAAGACTTAATTATAATTAATATTATAAAGGATACAAGCTCTTTAAATAAATTAATATCTTAAGTATTCCATATACTTGTTAAATTATAAAATTTCGAAAAAAAAGAAAAATTGTTTCCGGCTCTTGTGTGCTTAATACAGCTAAAAATAATATGATCTAAAGTTTCTATCTCCTGACAAACAAAACACATATTACTAATGTCATTTCGAAACTTACTAAGATACTCTTTCCCATCAGTATGACCAACCAAAAGTATATTAACTGACTTGATAGCATAAGAACTCATATTAAGATTCTTAGACACAATCCACTGTTTCTCACAAACCCTAACCCCATTAGCAAAAAAAAAAAGTCTTACCCTTAACCAAACACAAATCCTTAAAAATCCTACTCCAATCGTTCCAAATTAAATTATGTATGCTCCTTAAAGCTTCTTTAGGAGTAAAATCTACCCTTAACTGCATTCCCCCATCCACTGCAGCTTTAGCAGCTAGATCAGCATTTTCATTAACCTCCATCCCCACAGGACTAGGTACCCAAACAATCCTAACACACCCCATACCAGAAGCAAAAACTAAACTTTTATAATAAACTAGTAATTTTTAGCAAAAAAAAACCGACTTCAACTCCCATATAAAAAAATATATATATATATATATCTCATGATCCACTGATCGGATCTCAACCAGATTAGTATGGGACCACCTCTGAGACACTACCTTTCCGATGCAAGAAGAAGAAAATCGGTTGACGTGGTCCAAAGTTATGCGGTAACATACATAAAAAAAAAAATAAAAAAAAAAATATTCCGACGAACTGATAACCTCCTCCTTTTTTGGAAGTCGGTTAAAAAAGAAAGACATAAACAAATAAGGGGCATTCCACACTATTTCAATTGGTCAAAAAATGCTCTTGCTCGATTATCTGATATGTTGCAGAGGAGGTCCCAAAGTGTTTGTAAATGCGAAAAAAACAACAGCAATTATTTTTTTTCAAAAGTTATACACTATCCAAAATATTAGGTGTATCGCCGTAAGTTATTTTTTATCATATAATGGGCCGTATGAATAAAAACTAAGCAATTGCTTTTTCTTAAAATTTCATACCTTTTACTTCAATTTTGTTTGAATAAATTGAGTAAAATATCTGAAATTTTAAGAAAAAGCAATTGCTTATTTTTATTCATACGGCCCAATAACTCGATAAATATTGGTTGTAACAAAAAAATCAATTATTACTTTTTTATTGATAAAGGTGGGAGATTAAAAATTTTTTATTTTTTTTTACTTCAATTTCCATACGTTTGTTAATGAAAAATTTAGAAAGTTGCAAAAAAAAACATGTTTGCAGATTTTTAAAAATCTGCAAAAAATATGTGATAGAGTGCATATCCAAGATTTAACTGACAAGTTTTTAAAGGGTGTATCGATATAGGGCCTGTGTTTCGTAAAGCATTGACTGATAAAAAAAAAAAAATTTTAAATAAAAACTTTAATTAGTTCAAAATACGTTAAGTGGGCCACTTAAAAACCTTTTCTTTTGGATAACCAAGATAGTTACGTACTTTGGTAGAGGTCCAGGTAATATTTGTTTCCCTATACTTTATTTTGCAATAATCCTCATACGTTGCGAAAAATCGCGAATTTAATATTTACATATGTAATCATTTTTTTGATTGGTCTTACCTCCTGAACGGGCAGAGATAACTTAGTCATTTCGGTTTAAAAAAAGCGGAAAACTCCATCGTTTAAGCACAAATTATTAAGTTTGTCATTTTTGATATCATTTATATGGAAAACACTACGCAGTTTATTCCATTTCATACCTGTGTGATAAGATTTGCAAATGAATTCCTCATGTCAAATTTCTTTGGCGAATAATTGTCTGTATTCTTCACTAACTTTAATAACACAGGCCTCTCCAATAATTCCCCCTCTCCAATATTTTTTTTTTTTTTTTTGAATATCTAGGTACATATGTTAAATCAAAATACATCTTTGGTTTTTCTAGCACGTCGAGATGTTTTTTTTTTATCGGCGACATGTATATTTTAGGATGTTTAGCAATTTACAAAAATTAATTAATTTCGAATTGAATTTTTAATTAAAAACCAACATTACTACCCGCATTACTAGCGTTAACTTCAAAATTACTTAAGTTTTTCTGATGAACTTAGTCTATTTTGGGTATTTTAAGCGAATGCGATTTTTTTTTCTATCCAAAAAATTGTCGAACATACTTTGTATGGGAGAAAATGCGCGAAGAAATGATTACCGAAAATCAACGGTTAGTCCTAGATACCTCAAACCTGCACTTTATTATAATAAAATTTAGCAGCACAAACGCTGATTACTGGCCCTTGCTAAGGATGGACCAATGCTTCGAGAAGCAAACAAATTTACTAAGAAGGAAAGTTGCAACAAATCTTTTTTTTCAATTTAAATTTTTTATTATAATTTAATTATTATTAATTTACCATAATTGTTATAAGGCCATAAAATAACAAAAACAAATAATTTTTTTATTTTTTATTTCACACGGCATGCTTTGATTTTGAAGAAAAAAATCAGAACCCTTTATTTTTGCTGATCCCTTGTGTTTAAATATTTTGTTTTTGTATAGGCTTTGTGGATCTAATGGTCAGAGCAGTTTTTGACACTTTCGATACCAGAAGCAACAACAAAACACATGCAAATGTTGTTCATACTCAAAAAAATTCTAAAAAATCTGATTAAAGAGTTTAAAATTTTATGATTTAAAATTCGTAAAATATTTATAAATGTCCTACAAAGTTTGAAATTTTTATTTACATGTTTTTTTTTAGATAGTAAGCCATATTTTCACATAAAAATAATAAACATTTAAATAGCAAAAACTTGATAAAATGTGTCTTCCCTATTTACATTCTCGCCACCGTACATCGTACAAACGACAGGGGGACTCAGATGCATTAATATTTTAAGCTTTAATATAATTGAAAAAAAAGATAAAAAGGAAAAACATGGAACGAAGTGCGGATAAAGTAAAAATAATCGGCTAAGAATCGACCAAAAACGCTATTAGCCAATGCCGATTAATCGGTCGGACTTTAGCCCCATTAGAAATTTTTTTCATTATCCGGCTGTGAATTGCAGACAAGTGCGCTTGGCGTATGGAATATATAAAATAGTATAACACATTTAAATCATACCTTGTTACATTGTAAGTGCCCTTGGCTTTCCGCTGCGACAGTAATGGTGTTATCAACAGCTCACCGCCCTTCACCGAAAGGTTATCTTCATCATCGGTAAACATGGTGAACTCCTCAGATTTATCGCCGATTGCATTCGAATACATAAACATGTCATAACTCCAAACGGAAGTATCCAGTTTTTGGAAATTCTCTTCAAAAATTAATTCATTTGGTCTGTACACTTTTTGAGATAATTGTTTGTTTAGGTAAACTGTCGATGAGGTGGGTCTATATAAGCGGTATGTAGTTACGCTGGGTCCAAATATCGACGGTTGTTTCGTAGTCTTGGCCTTCCAGTCATCGAAATTACAAACATCGACCTGGTGATCGCCACTTTCAATGTCATATGAAGTTAAGTAAGCTTTCGAAATATGTGCGATGTCAGTGCGTGTAAAAAGATTATCATTATGTTGTACCACAACATTAACTCTGACTTGATCATTTGGATATAGTGTTCTATTTGTTTGTTCACTGATCCATAAATTGCCACGCTGTTCAGTTATCAGATCGTATATTATAGGACACTGCTGATTGATCTCGATGCTGTAGATCACACTTGTTATGCCAGATTCATCTATGAAATTTCAATGGAGAAAGTGAATTATGTAAAATAAAAATATTTGGGAATATTGCTTAAATATACAATATCACCCTGTTAATTTGCCCTTGCCCATTGATTTTATTCAACAACTTGCTCAAAAAGCGAACTTTTCCATTGCAAGTTCTACGGTTATTTCGTGTCGTAAATTTATTGTCGGCGATTAAGGAAAGAAGACATACATAATATGATATGAACATAACAAAAATTATAGCTTGTGGCTTTGGGGATTTATTTTTCTGAGCTTAAAATTTATTACGGTTTCATCTTAACTAATATAATTATAATTTTACTTTCCAATCATTTTAATTTTTTACTTTAACGAATAAAGTTTTAATTTTTTTTTCTTATTAAAAAAAATTATAGGAGCTAACCAACTTATTGTACAGTTTACTAAACAAGAGGAATCGATTTTTGCAGCCCTCTAAATGGCGTAAACGCGTACATAGTCAACTTGCAGTGCTGGACTGGTCCAAGTTGATTTCCAACTCTGCCGATTACGCCAAAAGTTCAGTGCCGCCTTTGGTGAGGTATTTGCCCAGGGTTTCGAAACATAATCGTCTGAAAAATCGCCATGTCCACCAGCCGCTACACCAAGTGTAAGGAAGAACTGCAGTAATAAAATGAAATTGAAAATAAATACAGATATATTTTTGTGTGTACGTAAATGAAATTTAATATATAAAAACTAGGAGTGAAATTTGATGTGTAAACATCTGTGTCCCGAAATGGTCCCAATTTTGTCCTGAACTGGTCCCGAAAAAGTACCGAGTTAGCCTCAAAATGGTCCCAAACTAGAACCAAAAAAGTCCTGAACTAGTCCCGAAATGCTTTCGAAATAGTGACGAACTAGTCCCGAAACGGTCTTAAAAATGTCCCGAGCTGGTCGCGAACTACTCTCGAAATGGTCCCGAAAATGAGCAGTGTTGGTAGAACACCTAATGAGATTTGTATTCATTTGTAATACTTCTGAATTCGTCTTGGTTTACGCGTGACGGTTTATGCAAACTGTCGAGAACGTTCTCAATGGGAATTATATAAGAACAAAACCCCGTGGAACGTTCCCAAAGAGAACAAAATGCGAACAATAATTTCCCTTGAAGAACAATTTGGGAACTAAAGTATCAAGAACTTTCTGACAGAGAACGAAACGGGAACAAATATTCTCTTAACTATTCGCGAAGAACGGAAGCGAGAAATAAATTTTTTTTCATAGCGTTCCAATAGTTTGAAATGTTTCAATAGTAAAATTAATGAAAAAAGAACAGAAAGATTAAAAGGCAAATTAAGTTAACAAAAGACTTAAGACACGAACTTTTCTTGCACAGAATATGAAAAATTGTTTAAGGTGGACAGTTCACCCCAATGGTAAACGATCTGGAAGTTGAAATGATCCACCTTTCCTCTGGCATAGAACTATAAATCATGGTTCTCTCTGAAACGGATTTTCAACCCAACACAGAGACGCCCCCCTCATTCTTAACGTTAAGTTCTCAAAACTTTTGTTCTCTTGCAAAACCTTCTCCAGACTTTGCTTTCCATTAATACACTAATGTAGTGAATATGCCTAAAACTATGCAACGATAAGTTGTAGACGGTTATATGTAGTTGCGTTCGACAACACAAAAATTTGTAATAGTTTTCCCTAATTTTTACAAGTTGGCGTTCGATAATGACAACAATTTATTCATCACCCAAAAATTGAGAGAGAAAACGTTCATTTTTCTGCAAGAGTAAAGTTCATTTTGTGCTGGGAAAATTTTAGTCAGCAAAAATTATTCATCACGAAAACATGATCTGAAAACATATGGTAGCAATTTTTGTAAACAAACAAAATCGATTTTTTCGAGTTTTGGTATTTATATGCTTTTTAGCTGCCTGCTATGTGACTTTATGATAGTGATAACTAGTTTTTACTTCCAGAAATATTCCTGGCGAACATTGAACGTTCACTTTCCTTTTTCTTCCATGGAGGCAACATGAATTTCAGTTTGTTTACAAATAAAACATAAACAAAGTCAGCTGGTGTGTCTTCTTCTTCCTGTTTTTGCGAGTGATTGTTCCTTTACTTTTTTGATTTATCTTCTTTTTGGGAGAGAATTTTCGCTTACGCTCTTGATTTTGATTGTTGGCTAAATTTGGTATCGAATACAACTAATGATATTACAGATTTTTAGCTGGATTACACTATAAGCAGTAACAATATTTCTGCTGGAATAAGGCAAATTTTATTCATATCATACACTCAGAAAAAAGAATTTCCTTAAAACAAAGAAAACAGTTTCCTTATTTTACAGTTACGGTTTTTTGCTTAATACTACGAAAACTTTATTAAATTTGAGAAGTTTTTCCTTAATTCAGGTTCATGCTAAAACTGGGGCGTCATTAATTTGAGGAAGTAAATTTACTCAATATAAGTAATAATTTCCTTAAATAATTTTAAATTTTGTCAGTGCGGTTAAGACAAAGTTAATAGCTTTCCTGGCAAATGTCGCGTCCAGGCTACTGCTTCTGGTTCTGAGATCGCAGGTTCGAGTCCGGTTGGAGGTGGTTAGAGTAAGGTAAGTCAATTATTTAAATTTAAGTATAAATTTAAATTAATAAATATAAATTGTAAAATTAATTTCATCTATGAAAAAACCTAAATACCTGAATAAACCTCAAATATCATAAAAAATAAATAAAATATATATTTTTTAAATACAATTCTACAATTATAAATAAAAAAACTCCTGATCTGGGACTCGAACCTTTCATCTCTCGACTAGCACTCCAGAGCTTCGCTCTGTCGGCCATTGTCACTGTTTGAGCGCCACGAGCAAAATGACATACTTATTCCTTCCACGGCGGATAAAATGGCGAGTAAATTTTTCCGAAAAACTATGGAATAGTGTTTTCCTTAAACTGAGTCAAATCGTATACTACTCATAATAAGGCAGCCATGTCATTGGAGCCATTTCAAGGTAATATTTCCTTTGAATAATATACTTTTTTCCTAGCATCAAGAAATGTTTTTTCTGAGTGTACCCATAACAAAATATTACATTAAGGCTGACTTGCAAAACGCCAATTGCTTTGCATACGTACAAAGAATAATGTTCCATAACGCCGAACTACAAAATATTGACAATGTATACATTTCCAAAACGCAACCGAAAAGTTATCGAAACGCATCGCTAGAGCAATCAGCGCATCAAAAACAAAGTTGATGCTACGTTTGTTATTGGTTGCCATCGGTGTTTTAAAAATGCAAAATACAGAAAAATTTTGTCATTGCTATATTGAATATTTAAAATGTGCAATGTATATGGTTGCAATGTGTCGCAACTCTGCATATAAAAACAGTTAGTCAGCCCAATAGTCGTTCGCATTTTTCACTCGATTCTCTTACTTCGCAACCAATTAAAATTTCATAAACTCTGCAAGTTTCGCGCTTTCCACGATACTACTTTCCTAACTTAAGTTTTGTTTGGCAAACCAGTAAAAATAAGTTCACAAATAGTAAACAAACCTCTTGATCAAACGGTGCCATGTAATTGCTATTCGCCCAAGCATTATTGTAACCATTTGCCTTTTGTGCAAATCCACCATCCACAGTGCCATAATTTTTTCCATCCACATCCAAACTAAGCTGGCGATCATTCCATGTAAGCGAGTAGATATGAAACGTTTCGCCGAAATGCTGGTCCTGGCTGGTATTCGCCATGAAAGTGTCACGCGTATTTGCCTCTGACGAGAGTACGGCGCCGCCATGAAGTACACGCCCACCCTCTTCAACGCCCTCGCGCGTCCGCAAATTGAGATTGCTACGAATAAATGCAATACGCATTTGACCCGAGGCATAGGGGTGTTGACCATAGAAGTTGACCAGAGGTTCGAGTAGAAGAACTGTATACGAAAACTTTTCAGTCTCTAAGGGTTAATAAAATCACGTACATATATATGTGACACAAACTTACGTGGGAAAAGCCAATCGCCTTGTGGCAGCTTGGCGCGCACTTCTACGCGTCCATATTTGAAAGTGAAGGCATGCTTGGTGTTGATGCGTGCAGAGAGCACTGGCGGTAGTACAACCTGACCGAATGGTTGTCGCTGACATTCCACTTGTGGATTCTGATTAGCGGTACAACTGCGAAAATAATACACGTTTTTTATTAAATAAACATTTGCTAGGACTACACACTCACCGTGTTCCTAAATTTAAATGTCCCCTACGTATATTCGTATCCGGACTATCATTACCCCAAAGACGAGGTTCAATTTTCAACACACCATTTATCAGCTCAGCATTTGTATCATATAAGACGAATTCTGCATCAGCGACATCAAGCGGTAGGCGTACTTCGTAACGCCAACGCGAGGAATCCAATTCTGTGCCGTCGAAATTTTCTTCGAATATCAGTTGTCCCTTGCAAATGTTACGATTGCGTATAGTCGTCAAAGAGGATTCACATTCTTCGCCTATGATTGGCGGTTTTTTGCTGGTAATTAGGGGTTCTTCGCTCGTAACTCGTGACCTTTCGGTAGTAAATGCTGGCTGCACTTCATTACTATGCTGAGATGGCCCTCCTGGTGTTGTCTGTCGTACTGTGATAGGCGATGACATGCTACGATAACGACTTTTATTATATTGCACATCGGTCCACACATAGATGATATCATCATCTTGAAGGTGACGTTGGCTCTCAAAAAACCATTGATTTGCTGCTTGCGTACGTATTCGACCGGAAAATTCGCCTGGTTCAAAGCCTTTGAATGGCCGATTGCGATTTATATTGAAAGCCACATTTTCGATGCCCGTTTCATCTGTATGAATAACATTGTATAAGAATTATGAAGACGCGCTTTTCCAATCATGGCTACATATTGCTTTGGAGAGTTATAAATTTATCCACATAAATTCTTCTACTAGGTGCAAAACACGGATTAGCTTATGGAATCGGACAAAGCGGTTGATTCTCAATTATTTGTGCGGATCCCAGTTGCCGGTCGGATTCCGCAATGATATGAGTAAACCATATAGTAGTAAACAGAAGTCGCCCCAAGACGGCTTTCTCTTCCCGACTTAGTGACTTATGCGGACGACTGAGCCATCTCGGCGATAAAGCAAAATATCGACCGCCTTTGCGAGATTACTGTCTATTTCTCTTCAAGCTTCAAGATTCTTCACAAAATCCCAGGCGTCATCTTTGATAGCCTGCTATGTTTCTGCGCGCACACCACCACCAATTTTTTTTTAGCTTCGGTCAAAAAGTAAGGTTGTCAAGTCACTTGTCGGCTGCCTGCTTAGAGTGCGGACAAGGAAACCTTACTCATAATGACCAATTTACTGGCCAGTCGGTGGTGAGCTAAGATGTGCTAAACTTCAAAGAACGTAACTCCTTGCAGCAGCAGGTTTCTTTCTCATGTCTTTCGAAGCAATAATTATTGGGATGCCACCCATCCTAAAAATGCTGTACCGCCCAATGAAACGTCACCTAAACATGTAATAACGTGCCTCCTCAGCTTTAAGGCCGACGTTAGGCCGCGGAAATAGGATAACGAAGATATTCACTCCAGTTGGAGATACGATGTAGTACAGACGTTGCGTCAATTACTGGTACAACAAATTAGTTTTACCTACCCATCGAAACATCCATAAAGACACTTAGGTGTCCACTGAACCAAGAGTCAATGTGTAAGGACAAAGCTCACGCCACAGTACTTCTACAAGACGGGGTGAGAATAGCAATAACGAGGCTTAGAAAAACTCAGTCGCGTGGAGCTTACGGTCAAGCTGTTAAGTGTGCTTTGCCCAATCCACAATCCTGCTGTTCGCACCAAGTAAGGCGGGTTAAGGCTTATTGACAATGCATATAAGATTCTATTGGNGTAATAACGTGCCTCCTCAGCTTTAAGGCCGACGTTAGGCCGCGGAAATATTCACTCCAGTTGGAGATACGATGTAGTACAGACGTTGCGTCAATTACTGGTACAACAAATTAGTTTACCTACCCATCGAAACATCCATAAAGACACTTAGGTGTCCACTGAACCAAGAGTCAATGTGTAAGGACAAAGCTCACGCCACAGTACTCCTACAAGACGAGGTGAGAATAGCAATAACGAGGCTTAGAAAAACTCAATCGCTTGGAGCTTACGGTCAAGCTGTTAAGTGTGCTTTGCCCAATCCACAATCCTGCTGTTCGCACCAAGTAAGGCGTGTTAAGGCTTATTGACAATGCATATAAGATTCTATTGACGATACCATGTGAAGTATTGAATCCCTTCAGGAAGCTATGATTGAGTCTTACCAGTGTGGCTTCAAACCTGTTAAATTCACCATTGACCACATTTCATCCTGACAACTTGACAATTCCAGTAGACAGTAGAAAAACAAATCTACAAAACACCTTTTTGTCGATTTTAGAGCAGCTTTTGATAANGCGATACCATGTGAAGTATTGAATCCCTTCAGGAAGCTATGATTGAGTCTTACCAGTGTGGCTTCAAACCTGTTAAATTCACCATTGACCACATTTCATCCTGACAACTTGACAATTCCAGTAGACAGTAGAAAAACAAATCTACAAAACCCCTTTTTGTCGATTTTAGAGCAGCTTTTGATAATACACCGAGAAGTTGACTCTACGACATCATGTGTTAATTTGGGACCCCCGCAAAACTAATACGGCTTTGTGGAGTGACAAGGAGCACAACTTTTAACTCCGTTCAAATTATGAAGGACCCGTTTGATACCAAAAGCGAGGTAGATGTTAGACTTGACTTTCATGCGACTTGTTCAATTTGAAGCTGGAAGGCGTAATACCTAGGATCCAGAATTAACGCCAACTATAGTGCCAGCCTCGAGATTAAACGACAGGCGATACCTTGGGAGTTTAGTAGGAAAACGGAAATGGCGATCTAAAATCGAGAAAAGTTGACGATGGCGACCAATGACATGAAAGGTTTGAAAAGCATAAAATTTTCAAGATTGCGCTGTCTTCGGATTGCGGTTTATATGAATGAAAATGATGCTTCAGTTAACATATTATTTGATTCCACCACCAGGGATGGGCAATAAAAACAAGGGCGCCCACGAATAAAATTGGAAGCTTAAGCGCAGATGGCACAGAAGTTGGTGTGAATAACCGGAGTTCGGTTAAAAAGAAAGACAAATGCGAACATTTTTATGTGGGTAAAATTTCCATTAACAAAAGACAAATGCGAACATTTTTATGTGGGTAAAATTTCCATTAACCTAGGAGTAAATGTGTAAAAATTTTTCATTAGTAACAGGCTGTGTTCACTGATGTTCCAAGTGATTGTAGTATTTTCTAAGAGAATTCTTATCTAATGTTTGTTGCATACTTTTAGGCATATGCTGAAATAAAAAAAAATACTGAAATAATTTTCACTTGGGTTTTTGATATGTAAAAATCTTTGCTACCTGTGTGGGCAAAAATTTGTGTAAGCTGTCACGCGTAAACCAAGACGAATTCAGAAGTAGTAAAAATTAAAACAAATCTAATCAGCTGTTTTTGCAACAATGCTTCTCATCTGACTTGTAGCATACGCCTTGATATTGTCACACAAAGCGGACCTACAATTTTACGACGACTCCGAACGGCGGCCTATTTTTATGAGAAGCTGTTTTTCATAGCAAAAATGCACTCTGAGATTTGCCAAGGTCTGCCGAGGGGTGACCGCTATTAGAAAAAACGTTTACTTTTCTTTTGTTTTTGGTATTAGTCGCAAAATGGGCTCGAACTCAGGCCTTGCAGAATGGTGTTGCGCACTTCTAACCACCACACCACACTCATTGATATAGGTTAGGACTTTTTCGGGATCATTTTGGGCCTAGTTCGGCAGTAGCTCGGGACTACTTCAGCGCTTTTTCGGGTGTAGTTTGAGACAATTTCGGGCGTAATTTGGGAACAGTTCGGGACTTTTTCGGGACTACTTCTTGACGTAGATGTTTACACATCAAATTTCATGAGTACCAGGTACTCACACCTTTGTTTTTGTGCTCACAACTCAAAGCAATGTAGAGTTTTAGCGTTAATAAATCTTAATACGGACTTAAAAAAAATTTTTGTTTAGTTGAATATATTAATTCGTGAGTTACATACATATATGTACATATGTATAGTGAAATCTTATCTGGACAAAGTTACAACTGATTAAATTTATGCTTTCGTATAAACAAATTTTTGCAATATACAAACGTGTGTATTTATGTATATATGCTTGCTATCAGTATGAATTAGGGTAATCCAAAATAAAGTGAAATTGAAATTTTAATACTATCACCCCCTACGACGGTTTTATACCGAAAAATATACCCCGGTTTTTTATGTTGCAATAAAACAAAAACAAATTTTCATAGAAATGGTATAAAATTCTCGATCGGAAAAGTCTGTTTGTCTTCAGGAGACTTCCAATAACTATACCCAATCGTTTATTCAACCATTATTTAATAAAACTTTTTTATAGGTCCCCCAAAAAAGGTAACGGGGGAGTCATAACAATCGGTAGCATCAAAAAATGTTAAAAAAAATTATTATTGGAAGTCCCCTGAAGGGAAACAGAGTTTTCCGATTGAAAAGTATGGATTTTCAATAATTATATATTATTTCTACGAAAATTTTATTTTTTTTTTCATATAACATACATGGAAAATTTTGAGCGAGCTCTAAATATTTCTTGATTTCAAAATAAAAAAGTCGGCGGTAAATTGTTTTCGGTTTAGAATAGTCCCAGGGGGTTAAACCATTAAAATTGGATATTTTCTTATTTCACATGCATTTTTGGACCACTCTAAAGTGCATTTCGTGTTAAAGGTTATTGATATGAATTTGATTTCATAGAAAAAAAGGTATGTATAATTTTGTTTGGTGAATTCTTAGAAAAACGAACAAAAGTTAAGCAATGGGGAAACTGATCAAAATAACTGATACAAATACTGATTGTACGTACATATAAAAAAAACTTGGCCAACAATAAATCATCAAATATTTAGGAGCACAAAATAAAATAAAAATATTTGGCATTTATAGGTAAATATGTAAGTAGTAAGTAAGTTAAACTTAGCCCAAAGAATTTTGTGTTTTCAAGAAAAGCTATTGTTAGCCACAAGCCATCACTTCAAAGGGTCTTCCCCCGTACACACACACACAAAAATAAAAAACAAAACAAACTCATTCAAAAATTAAAAATTTTATTTTCACTCACGCGGTATTGACACTCGAAATCCGTTCTGAAGTATCTCAAGCTTGGCTTGTGGTATCTTATAGCACATTACCGTCAGGTTGCCGAAGCAGCAAAGCCAAATGAAAAAAAATACTAAAGTTACGCAGCTGCGCATCTTTTTTTTTGTTTGAAAAGCACTTAGAACTAAACCGAAATAAGAAATTCCTGAACTGTCGTAGTCGAATGATAGCCGCAAACTGATCGGTAAAGTAGCTTTTTGCATAAGAATTGCATAGAAAGCAGACTCATTCTCAGACAGAACTTGAGCGAAGCTGAGCATCTAGCAGATAGGTACCTACTTGCATTTTATTATGTGCGCGTAATTTGCAACAGGTTTTGAGTAAAATAGTGAGCAGAGCTTCAGACAAATACTTGGTTTATCAAATGTTTAAAATAATAAATTGTTTGAAACCCAGAAGAAAGATAACAGTGGGGTTGAGAGATTTGCAGCTGCAATACATTTCAAAGGCAAGTGAGTGAGCTAAATGAAATTCGCTAAAGGAAATTCGCATTAGCCTCTTTCGGTAACATAAGCTTTTCTTAGCCTTCTGAACCCATCTGAGCCTAATAGCAATAGGGATGGACAATTCTAGTTGGCACTTAGGCCAGCATAGTGCGCACGGATTGTATGTTAGCTTGCCTGATTCGTGCAGTCTCTGACAGAGACACTACGTTCTTACTCAGTTTTGCAATCAAAGTGGAGGCCTAGTCTCAACAATTTACTAGTTCTCTAGCCTGCAAAATTTACTTCGCCGCTTCGACAGTACTAAAAGGAGTGTCTGAATTTTGCATCCCTGCGAAACTAATACTCATCAGAATTGGGAAGGACCTCTCCGGTCCGTTTGTTACCTACAGAGGTTTCTGACACAGCGACTGCCTTTCGTGTGATTTCTTACTACAAGGGCGTGCAACGATATCGTGGCGACCCGTGAGGAGTTTTACAGTTTCACGGTCAAAGCCCTTACATCCGTTATTGTAGCATCACCGACTCGCATGTGTGAGTGCAACGTGGACTTGTTCAGCTTGTAAATAGGATACTCTATTGCTTTCTTTGAGAAAAGCAGTATGAGATCAATAAAGTATGCGATCAATGAAAAAGAGACACAAATCTAGTAGGCCTGATAATGTACAGACATACTGTAAACGGTAATTAATCGAGTTTTCTGATATCTTTGCAGCCGATTTCATGCGAAAATCACCCCTCCGCCTTGCTCAGTGTGAACAAAACAGCAGTAGCTTCACTCCACTCGACCTTGCTTCGTTCGGCTTCCGCTTCCGCTTTCCGTGTGTAACAGTACCGAGAAGAAACTACTCAGCGGAAGCGCCGGTTTCATTATTCTTAAACGTAAAACCCCGAAAATACCACTAATATTGTCGAGCACACACAAAATTAACGCCTTAGCTTAGCTGGAAGAAACGATTTTTTGACGTCCTCTGGCATACCACAGCGCCAACTCAGTCAGGCGTGTGTCCAATTCCAGTTTCCGCTCATCCAGGGAGTAATGCGATGTCCTCGAGAGGTTGGTTTACAGTCAGAGGCCTTCAGTGTGTATTTTGACGAAGCCTTCCATATATAGCTAGAGAACTTGCTTCCTTTCTTTTTCCTGGCCACCGAAAAGGCTCCCTGATAAACTAGAAGGAAAATAATTAACAAAAAAGGAGCCAAAGTACTGGCGCTAGACACAGCGAGCAAAAGCCTTCACCCGATTACTCTGAAACCGCATCGGCGGTGCACAGAGACTATGTAGGGAAATCGTAACTCCTCGCTGAAGAGGAATATTTTCTGCCACATCAAATGTAGGTACGATGACATTGTGGCAGAGCAAGTGTATGGCGAATTTCACGGAATTCTTAATAAGGAGTTAGAGGTTGTAGTACTGTGAGAACTGAAATTGGAAAACAGGGAGGAACAGTTTCCGACCAAACAACCGCTATGGACGACTATGTGTTTACACGGAAACATTAGAGTCCCTATGTTTCTCTCTCAACAACAAAAAAAATACTACAATTCTGCTGAAGTTGATACAGTTTCCCTATCCCCCAATCGAAGTGTTTATTTAAAGTTTCGTAATGAGCTATTAAATCGATTACCGTTGGCCTGTGTTACGCACACATCTCTATGACTACTGCCTGTTTAACAAAATAACCGTTGACTTACACTGGCATAGACGGTTTTTTATTCACTTGGGCTCCCTTTGGCTTTCAAAACAAGTCGAACATCCACTCAAACAAATTTCAAAATTTTTCTTTGGAAGCATTGCAATTATCGTATATTTTTAACATTTCACTATAATCCATTAAAAGCATTGACATAGAGCTTAGAAAGGAGCAAGCATGCCTTGCTTTACGGCCTCTAATTTACGTCTTGTCCGAGACCATATGGAAAATACTGGGAGGAGGCGCGCTAAAACCTCCACAACACACCGCTCGCATGTAAGCAACACCAGCCTGGTCGCAGCTACCACGGTGGAATTAAATGAATCTGTAAAGGCGGCCATTGTTGCGCACAACAACAAGAAGCTGACCAAAGAATGCACTGAGTTTCTCAAAGTCATGGGCTACACGCCGCAAACGCTCCACAGACGACCAGGATCTAAAAAGGAGAAATTGAATAAGAATCAAGCAATGTTGACTCAGAAGGAGCTGGAGCGCCTGAAGAATTCATCGAAGGTAGTTACACTTGAAGATCGACTGGAAGTGCTGAGAAAACAAGAGGAGGAACGCAATCGCATGGAAAGGGAGACCGAGGAGTTGCGTTTACGCTACAAGAAAATTGATGATGCGCGGCAGAAGGCGCTGGAGGAAAATGCTGAGAAGGAAGATCTCTTCGGGGCTGGTGAGAAAGTTAAAGTTCTAGAGCGTGCTTTTCTTGCCAGACACGAGCAGGAGGAGGAGGTGCGTCGCGTCAATCGCATCATATTGAATGCCAAGTGTCAGGCGGTGCGCGATGCGCAGATACAGGAAAAGGAAGATTTCCAACGAGAATTGCGCGACGAAGAGATACGTATGGATCGCATGGTACTGGAACGTGCCACCGACGCGCTCAAAAAGGAGGACGCCAATGAAGAGAAGAAAAAAGAGGAGAAACTGAAGTATGCCTGTGAGATACGCAACCAGTTGCATGAGCGCGAAAATTTACGCTTTCTGGAAGCGGAGCGCTTGGAGGAAGAAGCGAAGCGTATACGCAAAGCTAACGAACTCACACGTGTCGAGGATGAACGCCAAGCAAAGCTGCAGCGCGAACGTAAGCTGAAGTTCCGCGAGGAGTTGAATCGCATCACTGAGATGGCAGCACTTTTCCGCAAGATGCTGTGCGAACAGGAGCGCGAGGCTGATATGCGCGCGGCCGCCTATATGCGTGAGAAGCAGAAGAAGGAGCGCGAACTGGCTTTGGAAAAGAAGGTGGCACTCGAGGCGGCCGAAAGTAAGCGGCAGCGTATATTTATATTGGCGCAAAAGGTGTTGGAGTCAAAGACAGCTAGCGAAGAGCTGAGCTATATGCGCGAACAGGAGCGCATCGAACGTGAGTATCGGCGCAAAGAAAAGGAGGCAGCGTTGCGTAAGAAACAAATCGAAAAGGAATTGGCCGAAGCACGTGAGCGGCAATTGCGCGAAACAAAACACAGGCAAGCGTTGCAGATAGCGCGCGCCGAAAAAGACTTTGACCACTTAATGGCGCAAGTAAAACAGTATGAAGAGAAGCAGAAACAGCAGGAAGCGCAGCGCGAGCGTCAAAATGAGTGCTATCGCCAGGCTATCATAAAGCAAATGACCGAGAAAGAGTTGGAGCGTCGCCGCTTGCTCGATTTGGATCGCGCACAAGCTTTAGATTGGCGTGAGGGCGAACGCCAACGTGATCGCAATATACGCGCTGTGATCGATGCAAAGTTGGCGGCAATGCGGGATGCCTGCTTGCCGGAGAAGTACATAAAGGAAGTGGAAATGCAATTGGCGAAAATCAAGGGACAAAAAACTTTACTCACTAAAACCAAATGAGCTTGTGGGTTTATTTGATCACATTTATTCTGCGAGCGCAAACTTTTTTGAAATCAAACGGCTTACAACATACGGAGCAAAGATGTAATAAAATGTTTTGAGATTTCAAAAAATTTTTTTACAATAAGCTGTACATCATTTTTCTAATTTCATTAAATACATAATCTTAAACACAATCAATCGGTGATCTTAATTTTCTATTGGAATTAAAAGGGTATTAGGGAATATAATCAAAACTTTCAGCCGTTATTTATTGATTTAACTTTTTTTCTGCGCAAAGAACCTAGTATGCCGCTAATGCTCTGCCACAAAATCTAACCCATAGTATTCACCAAAAACTACATACTAACCTCTTGTTCGGAAATGTATCAATGCAAAACAAGCATCAGTATCTTATTTATAATATTAATAATAATACCTGTGTTCGTATGGAAGAGTAGCTGGCTTTAGTATAATGCGGCAGCCCCTTTATTCTTTAATTTTTTGATGAGACTTAATAGGATTATTGACTTGTTAGTATCGGAACTATTTCTGCACGTTTATTTGCCAAAAGTTCCTCAACGCATTGGCGCCATTGAGTCATTCGTAATAGTATGCTGCGAATGCCGCATTATACTAAAGCCAGCCTTTCGACATAAGTCAGCCTTTCGATAAGATACTGTTCTATAGGAACACAGAATATAATTGATGGAAATGCACGCAAATAAGTTCCAATTCGGCACTTAAACGTAGTTGAGCATATTGCTCGTTTTCATCACTTATATTTTAGAAATAAGAGACTTATGCATGCTTTGCAGTGATGGGTTTCCGAAAAGGGGGATACTTATCAAAACAGCAACGGGAATAAAAGGTCCGCCCAAAGACGATCATTAAAAGGTCCTGTTAGAGGATCCATAACAAGCCTATGATTAGGTTTAATATTAAAGTCCCATACCCGCAGAGTTAAACATTTTTTTATTCACATTGTCGGCAGTTCCGTTTCTCACAATTTATTTATTTAATATCTTGAATAAATTAGTAGAATGTATACAAGGCATTTAAGAAAAAAAACATGTATTTTACACTATAAATGGAATCTTTTAGCGCAGGTTTTACTTCAGGTTGCATTTATACATGGTTACATAGTACGTACATGCGCTCATAACCACCAGGGAATCAATATTCAGTGCATATACTAATGTAAATCAAAATTTCTACTGCACTTAGAATGAATGCGAGATGAAATGGTAAATTGTATACTCTTACAGTTTATCCCCAACGTCTAGAATGATTTGCCATTATTTTTCTTAGAACCATTGTTTCGGTTACTCTGATTAGTCTTCTTTCGGCGTTTCTCCGATGACCAGTCAATATCGTCCTCGTCATCCGTTCCAACAGTAGTCTGCAGATACGATGACGATGATGAGGAACTGGCGCTTGTACCCTCCTTAGTAGCTAAACGCCGACTGGCAATACGTGACGAATTACGTCCCATGCCCATGCATTTCTCCAAGTGTGGCGCAAAGCGGGACGCTGACACTGGCCTATCACAGTTGGGACAAGTGCAATCCATTAGTTTCTTAACTGATGAAATGCCGAAAATGTCATAGTTTGGCATATCGACGATGCGATAGGATGCATCCGTACCTTCTTCGGGAACACCATCGAGTGCTTCTAGATTACCAGTCTTATGTAAATGATGTACTTCCAGGAACACACCCACCACAGCATCGTCAAGCAGTGATTGATATAAATATAGTGCAGCCTCATCTAAACTTGTAGGATCTATAATAATGTCATGGAAGGCCTTCTGAATAGATGCCACAGTCATTTTATTGTTGCTGGCTGAGGATTTTCCCGATCCGGAAATATTTGTGTTTTTGTCGTTATTGGCTCCTATGTTGGATCCACTCAGACTTGGATTGGACGAAGAAGCCATAACGCCTTACGCTATGCAGCAATGCGCCGAGTCCTTTATTTTTTTGTTGACAAATGTCGGCTTTTTTACTTTTTCACAATTAAAACAATGTGCAGCAGCAAAATCACCTGTATGCGTTGATTTATGAGACTTTATGAGAGGGGTTGGCGGATGCTGGCGTAAATTGAAAAAAATTAATGTTGTATTACCTATTACTAAACCGTTGGTATTCTAGACTTACGCCAAATTTTCCAAGGCTGATTTTTATTTATAAAATGAATTCATATACATTAAAAAATAAAAAAAGAGGCCTTATAAAAATTTACCAAAATCGACTGTGAATGATCAATTTAAATGACAGCTGAGCCCACCTGAACAGTTTGTTTGTTTATACTTGAGCTGCAAGCGTACACATTAAAGAAAATCGGGACAATTGTTTTTTAACCAAGAAATGTTACTTTAATTACTAATTGAATTATATTCAAACATGCTACTCGACGAAAAGGCCCAAAAGTACAAATTACTCGCTGAAAAAGTTTATCACCGCTGCCAGGAATTACAAACTGAAAATGAGCGCTGTGTGCTCCGGTAGTTATTTAAAATGTTCTATGTACATTTTTTATCAAAAGATTTTTTAATTTGCATCCTCCCTTTAGCATAAATACGGTTAAGAAGCTTCTTCGACGACGCACCCGCGATGTAGAGCTTTTGAAACGGCGCCTTGACAAGCACAATGACGTATGGCGGCAATTGCCAATGGTGGCACCACATCCAAAACGAAAAATCGAACAAAAGCGCGGTCCCAAGCCCAAACCTAAGATTCCCACAGAAGAGCCAACAGATGGCAAAGTTAAAAAGGTACGGAAGCAGCGCATGAAAAAGAACCTACTACCGCTGCAGCCAGGTTCCGTTGAAGGAACAATGCAACAACTGCCACAACAACAGCACTTCACCGAACAGCAGCAGCAGCAGTTGCTAATGCAACAACAATTCGTACATTTCAAACAAGATATTTGAGATGCAATGTAAAACTTTTAATTGAACAAGGCGTGAATTATCCTAAATATCTGGGTAATTTCTATTGATTTTTAAACTTATGAAGCAGATTTCATGTACAACACATTCGCCCAACATGGAGCATATGAAAATAAAGCGCGCAACATAAATGATATATAAAAACTGTTTTTCGTTAACCCCACTAATACCAGATTGAAAATCTGAAATCATAAATGCACCAAATCTATTCGGCTTGCCTCAATCGTGCCAGTCGCTGAGTTAGTTCGTCTTGCTCTTGTGAAACTTGTGTAGATGCACCAATAGTTGAACTCTGTACACCACTAGGTAATTCCATATTGAGCTCCAAGCTGCGCAAGTAGTATAAAAAAATATAAAAATATAAAATATCCAATTTTCAATTTCATATCCACCCACCCAGCTTCATCGGCCACTTGTTGTAATAAGTTGTCGACATCGCCTTGTGGCACCGACGTTGTAGTCGTATCAGACATGGTATTCTCCATTACCGAACTCTGTACATCTAAATCTTCAAATTGTTGTTCGAACTTCTCCATGAGCGAAGAGATTTTTTCTAAGTTCATACCTTTCATGGCAGCATCCATTGCTTTGACCACGCCAGCCATTGAGCTGGTAACTTTTCGTGTAGTCAACGCGGATTGTACCCGACTTGCAACTGCGTCTACACGTGCGCTCATACGTAAATAGTTAACAGCCTGATTTTTCTGTCTTATTGCATTTTCTGCATGAATACGCGCCACATCCATGTTACCCTTCTGTATGGCCTTCTTGGCTTTTGCCTTTTCGAGCTTCTCCTCTTTTTCGCATTTCTTTGAGTTGCGCTCCAGCTCTTTCACAGCAAATTTTAGATTGAAAAGATGTTCTAAA